AGCAGTTCAAGGAGCTTGGCTTTCCTCATGCGCGAATAACCTCTGAGCCCCTGTTCTTTCGCTTGGAGCTTGAGTTGTTTCACCGTGGGTTCGTTGACAATGCCGAGCAATACCAACAGCTGAGATTTCCTCAAACGGGAGTAACCGTTCACTCCACGTTTTTTGGCAATCCTTTTCAGTTCTCGAACGGTAATCATCGTTGCTATATCAATGTGTGAAAACCTTTTTCTAAATGAAAAATAATTATATTCAGATGCAAAAACGAATCTCTAATAGCTTGTTCGCTATAGTCAAATCTCTAATAGGATTTTCATCGCTATGTTCGGCTGCGGGTCAAAATCTCACGATTTTGAGGTTTTCGTGCTTTCTTTTGTTTTCCATCGTCTTGCTGAAGACGGAGTTGTTCATGAGCTTGTAGAAGTTATTCTCGATGTCGGATTTGTTTTTTTTTCCAGAGTTTGGTGTTCATGCGGATGTACGGTTCCATCCAAGGGGTTTGATGAAATTTGAGCCCGCGATGGATTTAGGTGAGCTTCATGCCGAGCTTGGTGTAGAGCTGGAGGTTGCGGTAGTGGAGAACGTATCTGGTCTTGTTTTTCAGGTTGGGGACAGATTGGTGGGGTAGGCTGAATCGACGAGTTAGCGTTGGTAGGGCGACAGCCACTGGAAATCGACGGCCAATCGTTCGGGCGCGAGCAAGTAGTCGTTGTGGTCGTCGTGGAGATGGGATGGGTACTTGAGATCGACTTCCAGGAGGTATCCCTCGCGAGCGTCTTCGGGAACGGCCACGAGGGATTCCGGGGTGAAATCGTTGGGATCGGCTCAGGCGAAGTCTTTGGTGGGTAGATAATGGTGTTGGGAGACCATGGATGTGCCGCCTCGCATGCCTTTCTCGACGAAGAGGTGCATGTCGTAGTCGGTGAAGAGGTCGAGTTCGACCTTGGTGGTTTTCAAGAGCGCGTCCCACGAAAGGCCCGTACTGTCGGACACAGGTTCAGTGGTAGGTTTGGAACCCGTCAGCCAGCAGGAGTACGTCGGCTTTGAGGTAGTGGTCGTGATAGTCGCCCAACGTCTGGCAGCAGAGTTCCCTCCAGACGGTTTGCGCGTGGAGGTAATCGCCAGGCGACACGTTGGTTTGGTTGAGGGTGCTGTAAAACCGCTTGCGAGGCGGGAGAGCCGTTTCGTGGAACCGCTTCCAGCCGTCCATGTATTCGTAGGGGTAGACGCCTTTCCGCATGAGGAGGGGATGACAGTGAGCTCGCGTTGGCTTGGACGAGACTGTCGAGGGAGGAGGGTAGGAATTGGACGCTGTCGACGACGCGGAGGTTGCCCTTGGTTTGGGCGATGCCTTGCATGATGAGGTGGGAGTCGTACCCTCTGAGGTTGTGGATGGCAACAGGGATTTGGATGGTTTGGGGATTGATTTTGAGGTTGCAGGTTCGATGCGCAGCTCCGCGGTAGGAGCCCGTGACGTGACAGTGATCCTGCACAGCGGCTGCTCTCTCGAGGCGTTCGTCACACACGTGGCAAACTTCGGCGCGACGAGCGAAATTGGAGTGATTGTCAGGCGTCATCACGATGGACGCTGGATCGGCGAGGTTTTTCCGGATCTCTCGTTCGTAGCGTTTAACCTTTCGGAGGAAGACTCGAACGGTAGAGAATGAGCGGGGAGAACGGCACGCCGTCGTATGGGACGACGATGAAGGTGACACCGCAAGCAGTGTGTTTTTGCGTTTTGTGGATGTAGCTCCTCCCTTCAGAGGACGAGGCGGTATCCATCTTTTCGACGATCGATTCGAAATCCGCGTAGACGACATAGGGAGCCATCATTTGGTTGCGGTGGTTGACGAACTTCAGCGTCTTGACGGCGGGCATGTCGAGGCGCACGTCCACTCGCGAGGTGCCCTGGCAGTCGTTGCGGTGCCCGTCGAGCAGATCAGCTCGCGAAAATCCGCGGAGGTAGAAATGTTTTTTTCTCTTTGTGTTTGGATTGGTCGTACAGTAGCCTGGGAAGGTTTTTGACGGAGGCGTAGTGATGTTCCCCGCCTTTCGTTTCACCGAGGAAATGATTGTGGGTGACGTTGTGGGAGGCATCGCTCAACCGGTGAACGAAAATTACTCTTGGTCGGGAAGGCGGAAGGGACGACGGCCACGACGCGCAGTAGTTGTCGACGTCTCGACCGTTGGTTTTGGGATTGACGATAGCCTTCTTCCTCATGAAGTGAACCGGTATTTCCACGTGTTTGATGGCATCGCCTCCCTTGAAGGGCACATACTTGGCGAAGTCGAGGTAAACGACGTCCACCGATTCGACGACCCACCCCGATCCCATTCTCGTGAACTTCTCGAGGCTTTCCTTCATCTTGGCGAAAGTGGCGTCGACGGCTCGTCCAACATATGGTGTGGGAATTTCCTGTGGGCTCCTGAAAAGGCATGACATACTCCCGATTACCGTTGGGAAGGGTTTTGACAAGGGTCATGCGCACGGTGACGCCGAATTTAATCTGCTGGATCGCTACTTCTTCCGCGACTTTGACGACGACGATCGGTTTGAGGAAATCCATGTCCAACATATGGTCCCGTACCACCATTCCCTATACTACTCAAGTAGATGAGATGGCCTCATACCACGTCCACTCCGTGGGCTTTGCAACGACGATCATGGCATTTCACGCCCACGCCGCGTGTGTAATTCACAAAACCCTTTCATATAGACATTATGTGTATGCCGCAGGTTTTGGTTTTTCCTAGCAGCATGTACTTGCAGTTATACGGTGCGCGTCTTCCCATCTTTATGTATATACACATAAATATATTTTTAGTCTAATTGTTTAGCGATCAACAAGGTCGCCGCTAGACCCAGCGCCATGAAAATCAGTTCCCGGTCTTTCTGTTTCGGGGGAAGGCATGTAAAACTGCAAGAGGTTAGAGTCGTTTGCCGGTGAGCAGGTAGTATTCTCTCATGGCATCGTCGACGTTCTTGAACGTTTGAACCGTGTTGTTTTCGCATGAGAGTTGGTCGTTGATGAACTGTATTCTCTGCACGTGTATTTTGGCATACTCGACTTGAGCGGCTTGCAGTTTCTCCAAGGCCAAATCGTGACATTTACGTTCCGCTTCCACTTCGGTCGCGTTCGACTTTCGTAATTTGGAGAAGAGATAATTGCTGCCTGAAAATGCGAGGGCGTTGACTAATGCACCACCGACCATCATAGCGATAGTACCATTTCTTTTTAAAAATATTATAATATTACTTCAAAATATTTTCCGGTATAATTCCTTGTTTCATGAGAATGTCCTTGGTGGCCATCGCCATCCCTAAGTCCATGATGAGCATGCCCATGTCCTGCACGTTGAAATCAAGTTTGATCGTAGGCTGTTTGAGAACCATTTTTCGTGAAGCAAGCGTAACCTCCGGGTGCGCATCCATGTTGTATATTATTATCATTATAAATTTTTCTTCTTTAAATTGACATGGCTTTGCCGTGATGATCGCCGCGGTCACCGGAGCTAAAAACATGCCGTATCTGTGGTACAGCACGCAGCTGACGGTACTCAAAGCGTCGTCTATGAACGGATCTTTCTCGAGATCTTCCCACAGGTAAAGTCGACGTTCCGGCGAAATGATGAGGAAGTACGTAGCTAAGCCGGTGTAGACTTGCGTTATGACAGACCCTATGAATTTTGTCATTTCGGCGTTGAGTCTGGCTTCTTATCTCGCGTACAGCTTGTCGATTTCTTCGGATGGCATTTTGTGAATCTTATTGGGATAGTAGTGGTCACCCCCACCCAAGTATTGTTTGGCTTTACCCCTGACTGTCAGCGCCACCAGTTTCTCTCGCTTGTCGTTTTTATTAATTATTGTCATCATCCAACATTTGTTTGAGAAGTTCGTCACACTCCATCTTATAATGTAACAAGCGATTTCTAAGTCTAATAAAATCAAATCCGATGCACGCGAAACACAGCGAGATGTAAGTCAAGTTGCACATGACGCGTGTTTCAAACATTTGCTTAAGTTATGCTAGAAGTTTGCTATAGTTTTTGCTAGAATTTTGCTAGCAGACTTTATACGCCACAGGTTGGTCGGTTTTCAACACGAGCTTAAAGTTTACGTATGAGAGATTGTCAGAAAATCAATTGAAGACTATTTCATAAACTAGTATTATCATGACTGATAAACATAATCAGCTTTAGGTATAGTCATTAAAGATTGCTGGATAACCGTTTAAAGGTTATTTCATAACCTATATTATAATATGGGATTGTACCCCGTCACAGATGAAATGGCTGAAAAATTGGAAACAGTGGACAGCTTTCGTCTATGACAAATAAGTAACATAATGCGCCAGGACTCTTAACGGGAATAGCTCTTAAATTAATTTTGCGTTGATTGCAAATGAAGGCATTGAAACACGTTAGTATTCACGTTCTAGCTGAAGCAAAGTTGAATAGCATTGAGTATCATATCTCGATGGCTTTTCTGATAGTAAGATATCCGCAGAACAGTTTCGTTTAGTGCTGTCGGAGCTCACCAAATACAACGCGATGAAACAAGAGATTCAAACAAAGTCTCATAAAACCAATGGCATTAGTGAAGAAGAGTACTGGGGAGAGAACAAGCCAGTCAAGCATTCCTTACCAAAACCAAAGAAATCATAGGAAAATAATGCTGAATTGTTTCCTCAATATCAATGTGGATTCGTAATGTAAAAATTCTCTTTCATACAGGGACATGTCCCCGCTCATCCCTTGCCATTTGTAAGAGACCGATGGGAGCTTAATTAGCCATAAATAACGCCATAAGCGGAAGTAATCTTGTACCCCAAGTACTAATACCACTAAGTTGGAGTTTATTTCCCTTGAGAATACTGTTTCCCCTGTGAATTAACTGAATTTGAATTCAGAGAACTATAAAATAGTTAATTAGTTCCATGTGTTTGAGTAATTACGATTCCCTAAGTCCTACATGCCTACATGATGCTTCATAATGCTTACAGATTGTACCGGCTGGAGCACCATATTTCTATGCAGAGCTTCCATGTGGTGCTAAACTCCTGCACAGAATATCATCAAAGTTCCCACTTCAGTTTGCAAGGTATGATACACTGAATTTGTTCATTCTTGTCATGAGTGAATGATTGAATGAATGAGTTAGTATGATACTTATATTATATCAAACGGTGATCGGAAAGAAAGTCACAGGAGAAAAGTCACGGATAAAAAGTCACAGGAAAAAAAGTCACAATAACTTTATTATCTGTGTGATATGTTTAATTATGACCATAAATCACAGGATCAATCACAGACTTGCGTGCTTACTGTACATGTGTCCTTCAAATACTATTTTCAAATACTGTTGCTCTATATAAAATCCATGATTCAAATGGGAAAGGACATGGCTAAACATACACACTTATACCAAGTTTCTTCCTTCTCATGTTAGTTGGAGAAGGAAACAGAATTATATTCACTTGTAACCTATGTTATATTTGTGATTACACTTTCTTAGTAAAGTACAAATTCCAATACTTTTGTTGGCTTGAGTCCCATTTGGGAGTCGAACCCACACCCTCAGAGTCAGGCATCTAATCGCCAGCACACAGTACAGTACCGTAAAGTACAACTCTCATTACTTAATTAACAGAGTGACCCCCGTTCACTGATCATTCTTGGTTTCAGGCCCCAATTAACTCATTAATTATATTATCATGTCAGAAACAGTAGCTGTTATAACAATTGAGACATTTTACAACCCACTAGTATATATTACTAGTATATATCTTATTGTATTGTGACTTTCACTGGAAAAAAAATCAACATTTACAAGCCTGGAAATGTCTTGGAAAGATGATGTTTCCAAGACATTTCCAATTTTGGAAAGATGATGTTTCCAAGACATTTCCAATTTTGGAAAGATGAGGTTTGGTGTTGTTTTAGTAATGATTGTTTAAAGGTCACATGCAACGTAAAACACAACTTTGCAGATTCTGATACCTTTCGGTATGGACGTACCGAAACAAATCATCAAAAATGCAAATTCAAGTTATAAAGTTGAAAAAAACCGCGCGAAATCGGAGTTCAAACGATTCACTAATTTTCCCCCGAAAATTTCTGGGGAAAACGGGTTTCAACAGCTGGGCTGCGCTCATAGCATGTGCGCAGTGAAATAGACGGGCAACATGGAAGCGGGCTGTCTGGTGAATACTCGGTGAAGGCTTTGGTGTGAGCTATTTTCATAATGTTTTGTTGACATCTCACAGGCGCGAGCTTTTTATATGTTATGACAGTAAATAAACTGTTTATATAGTTTCATTTGTCTATTTCACCACACGTTCTTCTTACCGAGTCACTTTCTCAATTTGATACTTAAAAGCAATGTCATTATTTAGCGTTGACAGAATTTCTAACTGTGATATAGATATGTCGTTGTCAAAAACAAAACTCAATGTCTTGTTTTATTGACACCTGTGTGTCTGCCTGCCTGTCTGCTAATGACAATATTCAATACACAACTTCATTCACTGACCACATGCAATTTGAACTTAACACCAATCAGGCTATACACCATAAACAAAACGCTTTGATTTATGGCCCGAGTTCGGTCTCTGTCACATTATGTAATTACACAGACAGGCAGGTGAGATACTTGCACACATGACATGTTATGATGTCTGTTGATTGCAAAATGTTATACACAAAAAATGAGCATGTATTTACAAAACCCAACATCTCTATATATACACACACAATGAGCTGTGAGGGCAGCATCTGCAAATGAACCAGCCGTTACACTTGAGTGCACACCCACCCGCTCTGACTGGGTTCGGTATCCCGGCTGCTTCGTTTCGAGGGAGGTAAACCCAAGTACAAAATATTGCACTTTTGATTTGCGATTCTACGCTTATAATTTTGTTTATTTGTTTTTTCATAATCAGCAATGTATATTATATGTCATGAAGAAGTGATAATTGTGTTTTAATTATGTTTGATTTTTTGGTTGCACGTGACCTTTAAGGGATTAACGAAGGATTATCGACTTGACTAGTCGAAATTGCAGTGGTGAACACAATTTAAATGTTCAATGTTTTGGGTGAAAAGTGAATTTTGTCACGTTTAGTTTAAGTATGTGTCATCGTAAACTTATCTCTAGTGAGTGAGAGTTAATTTCATACAAGGGCCACCGAACCCGTTATACAATTATAAAGATGACAATACAATCCAGCGCCATATATAATATTAAGCTGTATGCTAACATGTACAATGTGTCATTTAATCTTATACTCTATATTCAAAAACTTCGCTCTTTTTGTCAATGCAAGAAATATAAACTTAGCAAGATTGTTAACAGTTGTAGAATTGCAAGACAATAATAAGTTGATAAATTTAGTTTCACATGGATTATTTATGTAGTATTGTGGGAGCAGGCTGTTTCTCAGATCACAGTAAAGTGAACATTCAATAAAGAATTGGTACTCTGATTCAATGGTAAGTACAATACACAGAGGGCAGAATCGCTCATGTTGTTTTATATTTACTTTTCGCCCATATTCAAACATTAAAGGATGGTCTAAACAACGAAACTTACTCAAAGCAAAACGAATCGTTGCGTTGCCGTCAAATGGGTTATGTTTGTGAGTGCGAAGCAAGCGTTATGGAAGCTTGGAACGATATCTTAAATGTGTTCAGATCGCTTCGCTTAAGTTAAAGAAACAAAACTACTTACTAGTTGTAGTACAATATATATATGATTGATGACCAAAAAGATTTTCCATGACACAACTTGAAGCATAACGATTTCTTTCTCGGAAGCGAGGTTGTGGTGGAAGTGACAATAATATTGTAAGTAGTGCTATATTGACACCCACCTCGCTTCCACGAGAGAAATTGTTATGTTATAAGATATGTCATGCAAAATCCTATTGGACATCAATCAAATACATATTTTACTACCAGTAGAAAGTAGTTTTGATTTTATAACTCGGTGAAAACAACCTTAAATAGCATTTATTCTCAGACTGGCGGATGTTCGCGACAGGGCGCTGCCATTTTTAATAATCATAACATCACGGGCTAAAGTCTGTTAAAGAATTAATGTGATTATGGTTTGTTTTCATCAAGTTAGAAAATCAAAACTACTTTCTACTTGTAGTTAAATATGTATTTGAATCATGGCCAACAGGATTTGGCATGACACAACTTGTAACATAACGATTTCTTCCTCGGAAGCGAGGTGGGGGTCGAAGTGACAATACTGCGCAATAAATTTCTTGCTACATTCACGTGGTTAACGTCCACTCACCAGTAGATACTAGTCAACGTGCGCCTTTATATTTGGTCTTATAATCCTAATTAGTTTATTATCATACTTGTATGCATTTTGAAACTAAATAAAAATCAGGCGATCTGCCTATACTTATAACTTGAATAGCTAGACATTTTATAGTTTGCCAATGTAAATCATAATTTGCACACAAGCCCTAGTGTATGTTGTCTGTCTGATTACTTCACGACGAAAACAATGATTCTGTGGAATGCTACGACAAATGAATAAAAACAAAATGCAATTATTAAAAATAAAACAGATTAGAATTATAAGAACAATGTCAGGCTATTACCTTGTTCGAGGAATGTATCCATCAATATCCACAAAAACAAGTGGTATGCCATTCACCTGCAGCTGTTCCAAATGATGTGTCTTTTAACAATCTAATACATGTTTATGAAAAGTGATATATCGTTTCAGGTATTTCACATTGGTATATAGTCTCATTGGTCACCCAAGATAGCATACCTGGGAACTAATTGCATAATGTCCGCTATTCTTTACTAAAGTAATTTAGTTAGCCAATAATGAGCAATCAATCAATGTCTTGGCGGTTAATCCTTTGAAAGAAGGAAGTTGTTTTACGCAGACACAGACACGACAGAGTGTATTCAGTATAGATTAGTAAATCTACATACATAAACACTACCTTTTGACAAATCCGCTGTGTAAGATAAAAGTAATTAATCAATCAGCGTGTTATCGGTTAATCCTTTGATCGATGTTTATAATGTTGAGTATTTACTCCAGACACAAAAAATGCAAAATGGGAAACTTTGTCAGGTTATCTAAGTGGTGTTACCACTAATTATACCTGTTTTAAATTCATTAACTGACCATCAAGTGAATGATGACAAATAACATGTGTAGGTTTATACCACCCAACACGGGTTACAACAAGGGAGTATTAATTGCTGTATTGCATGCAATTTTAATTGTATGTGAAAACCTATGGGCCGACACTATTTTGAGAATACGGACAGAACTTCATTGTTGCATAAGAAATACATATAAGCATTTTCTGTGTGCTAAAACGGTATGTACCTATTTACGAAGGTAAATTTTCAGAGTCTTCTAGCAATGGCAAAGTGGGGTTGTTTAGTTTACGGATTCAAATAGATCAAATGTCATTTTTTAATATTATACGTCATATTTTTACATGACGTGAATAAATATCGAGGTAAAAACCCCACAGAAATGGGATCAATTATGATCAGTCATTATACCATCCAGGCATTAGAAAACCTGCAAAAGCCCACACTGCTTTGATACTTTAATACAATCAGACAAGAACTACCGGGGAAATTTTCAAATAACGGCATCTGATGGGCATCCACCCTTCCTAATGTCGCACTGTTTAGGTTGGAGAAATTAACCGTAACCGAGATGAGCGAAGCTGATCATAGTTTTCACTACCACTAGCGGCTGGCTCGGACAAATAAGGCCCAGCGACACCAGGCAATTACGACAGAATCGTCTATGAAAACAAGTTGTAACTCGGAAGGGGAGCAGGACAAAAGCCACCCGGACAAAAACCACCCGGACAAATGGCACCCAGTTATTTTACCATTACAGAGAGGACAATTACCACCCATATTGATTTTAATGTTGATTTTGTTGTAAAATGATGTTGACTTTGATGAATAATTTGGTTTCTTCAAAAAATATATTCACTTTGATAAAAAAGTTGATTTTCATGTAAAATTTTGATTTTATAGTAATATTGACTTTTTAAAAATGTTATTGTGTTGGTGGTTTTTATTTTTATTTGG